TGGAACATGTTCAGGAATTTTTAGTGTAAGGATGTCCTCACTTTAAAAGTCTTTGGAAAATTGAAGTACAAAAGAGGCTGGAATGATTAAGAAAATCAATTAAATACATCATATCTATGCAGGGAAACTATCAACATCACTCAGAAAATTTAACTCTCCTAAGGGCTAACAGTCCTAATGCTCTTTTTCACATTCCTGCTATACCTTTGCTTTGAAATAACTTATTCTTCATTCACTCAAAATGAACTTTCTTCTTTCTCTTTCTCTTTTCCCCCTCTTTTCAGTTTCTTCTTTCCTTTTTTTTTGTACTGGGGATTGAACTCAGATCCTTGTGCTTTTGAGGCAGGCAGTGGAACCACTGAGCTAAATGCCCGGCCCTAATCACTTTCTTTCCTCTTTCTTTGCTTCTGTTCTTTTTTTTTTCTTTCCGTGGTACTGGGATTTGAACCCAGGGCTTTCAGAATGCTGGGCAGGCACTCTGTCACTGAGTTACATCCCAGCCCTGAACTTTTAAACAACAAAACCATAAGTCATAAAGAGAACATATTCTAAAGCAAGAAAACATCACACTTAATCTGGTGATATTATTTCTGGGTGTAAAACATGTAATTCTTTAAAACTTCTAGTATTAATTTGATATTAACTGTTTCTAAAACAAAATGCAAAAAAGCAAAGCTTTTGCCATTGACTTTCTAATCATCATTCCGTAAACAACAAGAAAAATAATTGATGTAATATTACATATTATTAGAATAAGTCAATGGTTTGTGACCAGAATAATTTTGTCCCTCAGGGAATATTTGACAATTTCTGGAGACATTTTTGGTTGCCCTAAAAGGGTGTGGGAGTGGTAGTAATGGTATCTAGTTGGTCAAGGCCAAGGGTACTGTTAAACATCCTATAATACATAGGAAAGCTGCCCAAAGAAAATGCTATTCGAGGACACTTATTAAAGCACAGTAAGACCATTGCTATAAGTACAAGGACCACTACAATATGTAGGGACAGAAGAGAGGGACTAGGTTTGACTCTAAATGCAGCATGAGCAAGTGGGAATTTATGACCAAGAAACAATATAGGGGTCAGTGGGTAGAAAATTGCTAAGAGGAATTATCAAAAGTAAAAGAGATTCTGGCTAAAACAACCTTTAATACAATGTTAAATACACTCAGAGGTGTACTCCTAGGATATTATGAATACAAAGTAAAGGAACTAAGCCCCCTCTCTTCTTTGTATATTACCAATTTTCTACAGTAGTATACTTATCATCATGAATAGATCTCTTTTGGTTCTGAAATAAAACAGGCTGACAAAGCATCTTTTTAATCATGAACAAAAGAAAAGAGTAATGGGTATGAATGTGTGAAGAAGATGCCTGAAATAGAATTGCAGTGTTGAGAACAAGTAAAAGAAATCAAAGAATAAGGTATGTACAAAATCTCCCTTGAGGCAGGAAAATAGGTGGTGAAGTTGGGTCAGCAGCCATCCTGTTAACATCAGATGGTTTTCAAATGCCTAGTTGGCATCTAAAGAGAAGGATAGATCAATGGACCCTGAGTGGAAGAAAAGGAATCAGTACCAACAATTTATAGGTTGAATTAGGATTAGATTCTTACAAGTGTGTTTTTACTTAATGATTGCAGCTATGTAGAATAATAACATTATTGTGCTAGCAGTACGTGGTTATAAACATGTTCTGGAAGTAGACAGATACTTGAGATATCAGTTTTTTAGTTTGCTAAGTAAGAACACAATGGCTTCATAATCTGCAATGTTTTGAAAAGACTGAGATTAGAGAATTGAGATGTGAGTACATAAGATCCCAAAAGAAGTCAATGTCAACTGAAGAATCTAGTGAAGGCTGCAGCAGAGTAGAAGTTAAAATTGCAAATGAATCCTTGGTTTGATAACAACATTTCTGAGCAGGAAAGAGGGAAGGGAATGCTAACTCAACAGTCCAAGCAGGTTGATGGCTAAACCTAAGGAGGACGGCTCTGTGCCAGCAGAACAGAGAAGATGTCTCTTACAGGCTAAGAAGCTTTTTTAGTGTCTTTTGGCTGGCTTTTGAGGGGGGGTGGCTCTGACAAACAGCAGGCTGATGTGTCCTCTCTAACCTGCTGACATGTCCTCGGGGAACACTGGTAACCTGCTGAACACTGTCCTCTGTGACCTACTGACCTGTCCTTGGGGGACCACGTGAGCTGCTGAGTATCCTGTGACCTAAGTAAAATGAAACCTAGGTTTCTCTAAGATGGCAGGTGGGCTCATTGACACTAGCGGTGTTCCTGTCCAGGCTCTATCAATTTCAAGCTAATTGGATTGTTTATATTTGATTCAGAAGGCAATGAGACATGATAGATGATAATACTGTTCTTCAAATTTTAAAAAACATATACTTTGATCAAAAAGTTAGGAAGGACCTACTTGGTGCTTACAATGACGACTGTTGGTACCAAAATTAGCTATCAGGCTCATTTTTCTTCTATGGGGAATGGAGGAAGTTAAGAGTAGAAGCAAATAATATTAGGTAGACTCCCACTATTGATGTTTCTCAAATACTACTTCCAGCTTCAGACCTCATACATGATGTGATGTTCCTTAGGCCTGGACCACTACTTGAATCTATCCACCTCATCTTCTGAGACTCAGCTGAAATACTACTTTCTCAAGGAAGCCACTGCTTTCCTCCTGTCTCCCTTCTCCCTCCTTCCCACTTGGGTCTCCCTGCTATAAACACTCAAAATTACAATTAAGTAATGTGTTATATTTAGTCTGTCTCCTCTTTCAATACACCAACCAACCTCTCATTTTCAAATATATCTTAAACTCGGTGACCCTGATACTTTTGCTGATCAAGAAATGGGTGTTTATCTCCAGCACCTTTTATAGCACGCTGTGGGTAGCAACTGATTGAATTAATGTGCTTGTGTTAATAATCGACATTTCCAGGCCCACAGGAAGCACCCAAAACTATTACTGGTACATCTCCGCTCATTGTCTCACGGGGGGGGGGGGGGGGCGGTGAGCACGGCAAGTGTTCACTAAACCTCGATAACGACGTCTACAATTAACTAAGCCAAGTGAGCGACCCGCCCCGGGCTGGGACCCCACAACGACCCGCGTCCGGTTCCCCACGGCGGCTGTCCGAAGGCTCGCCCAAGTGCTGGGACTTCAATCGCCGGCCGCCCCAGGTGAAGCTCCTTTCCGAGGACTTAAGGAGGCTGGAGACAGCGCCCACGGCCAGCCCGGCGGGTGGAGCCACCCCGCCAGAGAGTCACCCACGTGCGGGGGGGGGGGTACAGAATGCGCCCCCGGAGGACCAGCACAAAAGCGGACGGAGAGCCGAGAGAGTACTCCGGGACCCCAGCCTAGCGCCAGATCCCACGGCCGCTCTAGGACGCCGGAGGGGCTTCCTCTCAATGGTTGGGGCGTGGCCTGGCCGGGCCCGCAAGGCGAAGGTCCCCGGTCTTGGTAGCTTCTGGAAGGGTTTCTGAAAATCTCAGAGAGCGCCTCGGCCAGTTTTTAATAAATAGTCGACCCTTTTTTTTCTTTTGCGTGGCAAAAAAAAAAAAAAAATACACCACCTCTTCTGAGTTTGTCTTCTTTTATTTTGAAATGATTTCTTGTATTTCCTCAATTTTGATTATGAGGTCGAAGCCCATCGATGCCCTAACCTTTGGGCGGCGGAGTGTGGCATCGGGGATTTTTTTCTCCATACAGCCTAACAGGCTTTCAAAGGGATAAACCTTGGCTCTAAACTTGAACGATAGCCAACTCAGCTAATTAATTCAGAAATTTGTAGTTACACAGTGACCAAGGAGAAAGGAGGGAATCACACTATTAGTGCGGAAAAACATCAAAGATGAGCTGTTCTTAGGACTGAAAGTACGAATGTGAGCACAACGGATCCCATTAGCAGCTTGACCCTGTATGAGGTAAATGGAAATGGTAAGGGAAAATGATGCGTGTATTTCTAAATGTACTGCCATCCACTAAAAACGAAACTTCAATGACTAGATTTATTGAGGTGACATGCAATAATTCTTAAATGTTCTGCAATTAGACGTTTCTACATTATGAAGGTAATTTGGAGGATTATAGCATGATGGTGAAGCATGACTCTTTCCTATGCTTATTCTTTCATAAGTCTTTTGACAGTACCTTCGGTCTTAAGAAGCTTAATTTCACTTATTTTCATATGAGTGCTTTCATAAATACCATTACCAAAATTAAATGTTTCCTTGTGTTTAGGTAGTCATCAAAGAGGTATGCGTGATTTAACTAAACAAAAAATAAATAAATAAAATAAAAATAAAGTTGTTGGCCCTGACTAGTCAAAAACCCAAGGAATTCAGTTTCAGTTGGAAAATCTTAGAGCTATTTCAGAATACTTACTAATGAGCTTATTAGATTATCCATTTGGGGAATCTGCCTTGGAAATCTTTCATTCTTAGTGTTTCTCTCTAATAACGTCCTCCTTTTATTGTTGTGTGCATAATGATGTGCTTTAGTATATCCAAGAGAGTTTTTGATGTCGGAATATGCAGTGACTCAAGTTTCACTCTAGCAGCTTGAAAGAGTGATAATGAGGTGCTCTTCTTTTACATTTATGCTCCCCTTCCAGGCGTATAATTTCATTTAAAAGTTGATATTGTTCTTTTAGATTTTCTATTCAATAATGAAATGCAAAGCAATGATTGTTCCCCTAAGAACAACTTTTAAATTTTCTGAGAACTATAAGGACTTTGCAGCAAACTCAAAGTATCATTTGGGACTTTTAACGCAATATGCTTTCAAGCCAGATGAAAAGGAATGTTCTGAGTTAAAATATATAGATGAAAATCTATAATCTGGCACTAAATCATTTGAGTGGGTGACAATAAAATTGCAGGGACAATCTGAAGAGCTGGTTGTCTGAAACTTGTGTTAGTAACCTCAAACCCAGCTCAACATTGTATCAAGAGTTATTTAGACCTCAAAGACAGAAGGAAAAAATGTGTTTGAGAATGAGAAACTCAAGAATATTAAAAATAACGATAATAGCAGTAAATAACATTTGTGGAACATTTATTATATGCTAGGCCCCAGGATAAACATTTTACATGAGTTCTTCCATGTAACCCTCACAGTGACCTTATGAAGTTGGTGCCATTATTACATTCTTTTTTACAAAGGAGAGAATTAAGACTTAATTAAGCAATTTCCCCAACGTTATATCGCTGCAATGTTATGGAGCAAGTTCTCAAACTCAGATCTGTCTGACATTTAGAGCTATAAAGAGACTTTTATATCAGCTGTGTTATTCTTTAAATGATTTGATCTTCCCTACCAATCTATCATTTTGCATGGATAATGGTCATTCTTCCTTCCTTCAAAATCCCTCTTCAACCTGTGAATCAATAGACATAATTGTCAAGGCATAGACAATGGTTGAGGGTTGTGCCTCTAGTATTCAATCATTCTGATTTATATAACAGTACCTACACTAACAAGCTATGAAAGTATAAATCACCTGCTTCCTTTTTTACATCTATGAATAAGGATAATACTAATGCTTATTCCAGAGAAATTTAATAAGACTCAAATGAGACAGTGTGTATAACAGCACTTGGTGCACAGCTGAGCATAAAGTGCTTAGGAATATATGAGTGATTTTTTATTAGGACACAATAGTACATATGATAATATTCTATAAGGAGCACATGAAGAAGGAGAGCCCTGGCTGCTTGCTATTTGCTGTACAGAAAGGAAATAAAACGTTGATACAGGCAGGGTGTGGTAGTGCGTGCCTATAATCCCAGCCCTCAGGGCTGGAAGCTTGCTATGAGTTTGAGACCAGCCTGGGCAACATAGTGAATTCAAGACCAGCCTGAACTACACAGGGAGACCCTGTCTGGAAAAACAAAAACAAACAACAGCAACAAAAAAATTGACACAGCTTCCTTTGGACCTTAGAGTTGTCTGGGGCTGGGAAGGGGAGAGGAATTAAAAGGTTAAAAGTGACTAAATACAAACCGTAACTGGTATAAGAAAAGTAATTTCTGTATATTTATACCATTGGTAATGGACTAAGAACTAATGAATTCTTTCTAAATTCGGACAGTGACTACCATCACTAAAAGCTTAGGTGGCAAAAGCTTAGGCTCACTCTGCAAGGAAAAGGATCTATAAACAATGTTTTATTTTTTCATATCAAATTTAGCTGATTCAAGTTTCTGTTAGGTCCTTCTTACATGGGTAATAATAACAGTCATCATTGCTATACTATGATTTGACATCCACAGATGAACGTGCAGAGTCAGAAAACAGATACATGTGGATGTGATCGGTTAGTTTATTTTAAAAGAGAATCACAGAAGGATTTCTTAAAATCCATTACTGATAAGCTTTTGTTGGCAATGAATTCAAGAGTGTCCCTAAAATAACAACAATTGGTATTATTTTCTTCATTTTGTAGATGAGGCAATGGAAGCACACAGGTTATGTAACCTAAAGTCACACCTGCACAGTGACCGAGCTACAATCTAACACAAGCAAGTTGGCTACAGAGCCAGAGGTGACTCTTACCCAGAAAAGTATGCCTTGCTGCACGCACCCATATGATATAATATTCTGATTTTCCATACAATTATGAGTCACATACAGTACCTGAAGTCCGACTACAAAAGCCATTATAACTTGCTCCAAACAATATCTCTAGTATATTTAATGTATAGTGATTGCAAAAAAATATAACCTATAAGAAATCTTTTAGGGAAAATTAATTGTAGAAGGCTTCTATGTTTTGAAATAGAAAATGTCATCTAGAATCCCCAGGTTATTGTGTCCTTGGTTAGTAGGCCCTAAGCAGTCCTTCTGAAACAGCTTATAGTGGAAACCTACTGTAGTGATTAGCACCCAACCCTTCCCTAGGGAACTGCTTTTGTCCCTCTTCAACTATGTGATTCCAGAAAAAGCTGCCATGATTTTGCATGATTCTGACACCCTGTGGATAGTAGATTGCTCTTACTATTTGAAAGAGTCAGAGTCCTTTTCTTGAATGGATAAGATTTCTTCAATTTTCCATATTGGTATGTGTGGTGAAACAGAGAGAAAATAACAAACAAAAAACAAGAAATGAGAAGAAATGGGGAAAGAGAAAACATGAGTAAGTCCTGGCTACTATCTGGGTGCTGGATCTGTTGCTTCTGCATCCCCAGCATCTTTCTGGCACTGTGGCTGATGTTTCTTTCAGCTATCTGGCATCTTTTCAATTCTTTGTCCTGTTTGCCTAAGAGTGTTTTGAGTTGGATTTCTGACACGTGCCACCAGAGAAATTCCCAACATGCATTTTAAAATTCATCACATTAAAATTACTTATTATACTATAAGTACAATTACTATTTTATTGTAGTTTTATGATAGAATTTTAAGATGGCCTCCAGATTCCTGCTTACTGATATACACAGATGGTACAATCTTTTGTCCTTGGGTGTAGATAGGACTTGCGATTATGACTGGATCTCATTGCCATGATTACATTACTTTGTATGGCAAAGGATGTGATTGAGGTCCCAAACTAGTTGACTCTGAGTTAATCAAGAGGCAGATTATACTGGGTGCTGTGATCTAATTATATAAGCTCTATAAAATTAGGCCCAGAGGCCAGAGACAGGGAAAGTGAGATTCAATGCAAGAGAAATTCTTTCCTGCTTGCTCTGAAAAAGATGAAGAGCTCGAAGACTTCTACAGCTGCAGGGGACTATATTTTTCCAACAACCTAAATAAATGGGAAGAAATCCAGAGCTTAAGATGAGATCAGAGACTCAGTAGACCCCTCAAGTACAGCCTTATGAGACCTAGCTAGCAGACCCAGCTGGGCCTTGCCTAATCTTTTGACCTACAGAAACTATGAAATAATAAATGGGTGTTGCTTTAAGCCATTAAGTTTGTGGTAATATGTTATGCAGTGATAGAAAATAATATATTCAAGGAAGAAAAATTAGACAAGCTTTGTCAAAGAAAACTAATTATCTCCCATGAATATTGAAAAACAAAAGAAGGTCCTTCAACTCCCAAGATAGTGAATGTTATGGGCTGAACTGTGCCTTCCTAAAATTCATTTGTTGAAGCTCAGCATCTCAGATGTAACTATATTTGAAGTTAGGGTCTTCAAAGATGTGATTAAATTAAAACGAGGCTGTTAGGATGGGCACTAATCCAGTCTGCCTTTTGTCCTTATAAAAGAGGAAAATTAGACACAAAGAGCCATAAGGTTGCTTGTGCACAGCAAAGAAGACTATGTGAGGACATAGAAAGGTGCTCACCTGCAAGTCAAGGACAGAGAAGAAACCATCTCTGCCAACACCTTAGTCTCAGACTTCTTCCCTCCAAAACTGTGAGAAATAAAATTATGTTGTTTAAGCCATCCAATTTGTTGTACCATGTTCCAGCAGCCCTAGCCAACTAGTACATATGCCAAAGCAGTGATTCATAGCCATAATGTCAGTTCAAGTATGGGAGGGTGGTACTAGAGACTGAACCCAGGGCCTTTGCATTAAGCTACATCCCCAGCTCCCCACTCTTTTAATTTTATCTTTTATTTTGAGACAGGGTCTTGCCAAGTTGCTAAATTGCCCCGGCCGGACTCAGACTTGCAGTCTTCCTGCTTCAGCTTCTCAGAGTGCTGGGACTGTAGGCATGTGCTACCATGCCCAGCTAGTTCAATAATATTTTTAATATAAAAGTAACACATTTTTATCTGGGTGGAGTGGTGCATGCCTGTAATCCCAGCACATGGGAAGCTGAGGCAAAAGGATCCCTATGAGTTCGAGGCCAGCCTGAACTACATAGTAAGACCTGGTCTCAAAAAGAAAAAAAATTAAAGATTGGAAACAAAGCAAAATATTATAAATAAAATAAAGAAATGAATGCAGTAGATGTTTAGAAATATTATACCAAACATCAAAGATACAGCAGCATGATGCTTGCAAGAGGCAGTGTCAAGGGAACATAACATATGGAAGGAAACATAGGCTCTTCAAAGGTCTTATCTCCAACACAGTCACATCCTAAGCTATTGGGAGTTAGGACTTCACCACAGGAATTCTTGGGGACATAATTCAGTCAATAATAGCATAACTTTTGGGTTTTTTGCATACTGTAATACCAGGTTTCTATTCGTTCCAGAGCATGCTATGGAGATTTTTTTTCTAAAAATTGTTTAAGAAACATTTTTTGTTTGTTTGTTTTTGGTACCAGGGATCGAACTCGGGTTCTTGCGCTTGTGCAGCAGGCGTCGAAACCACTGAGCTAAATCCCCAGCCCCAAAACATTGTATTTTAATATTATATACTGGTCTCCAGGATTCTTGATGTTATTTAGAACTCTGAATTTTCAATGTACCCAAGAAACTATATCTCATATTACTTTATTTTCTACACAGAATTTAGCATTGTCTGAAATTATCTTATTATTTATCTCTTCCCTCATTGAAATGGTAGGCTTGTTGCTAGTATACATTTGACAGTTAATAAAATGTACTTGGTGAAAGAATACACACAATGGAATATAAATTTCAAAATATTTATTTAAAAATTAAAATCCAATCGAACCCAATAAAGAGTAATTCCTTCTTTTGTAAATGAAATATAACAATTCTTAGAGCACAACAATGAAATTAAAATTTGGGGAGTAGAAGAGATAGGCAAAACATAATTTTTACTCTCTTATTTGAAGCAAGACTTTCAAGTTAATATTTTCTGATTAATAATTTTTATTATAAAATATAGAGATTTTTCTTTTTTATCATATATTCAGTTTCTTAGGGATAGATTGTTGGGCTGGGGATTTAGCTCAGTGGTTCCGGCACCTGCCTCATAAGTGCAAGGTCCTGAGTTTGATCCCCGGTACCAAAAAAATAAAAAAGTAGACTGTCAGTTTTAAATAAGAACAAATGTAATTGTTTTTCTTGAAAATGCCCCTAGGAATGAATGAAGCCTCCCCCAATTTTTTTCCATTTAGTTTCTTATGACATTCTGGATATCCTATAGGATAGACGAGGTAAAGTAAATAGTATAACATAATCTCAATTTATTTATTTTTAACTTAAAATTTGAAATGCAATCTGTCGCCACTACTGAGATCCATATTATACTTATTTTTCTATGAAGCTTTTGTATCAATGCAAATTTTGCATTTCTATTATAAGCTATAGTCAGCACAGATTGGCTTAGGAAAATGAATGGCTTTGTCTATTGCTTCTCCTTAGTTAAGCTAATGGATCTGTACATGATCCATTAGTGCAAATTTCACTGTTTAAAAAGAAGAAAAAGGACTGCTAAAGGTACTAAAGTATAAAGCCTTTTCCTTTCTTCTGCAACCTCTCTGTCTCTCTCTCTCTCTCTTTCTGTCTCTCTCTCTCTCTCTCTCTCTCTCTCTCTCTCGGCCTTTCTATTTGTTTCTCTCTCTCTTATCTTGTCACAGTGTTTATTATTCACTATTAATAATTTAAGTTAAAAAATTAAATTTTAAATTCTTAGCCTGAATTTTATCTTTCATCTTTTTATTTGACAACGCAGTTTTAAATACAAATATAAAAGCATTTAACTTATATGTGGAATCACTGAAATTATAGAAATCATAGTTAATATATGAATATGTATTTCATTCTTACCAGAACAGTGGAGACTGCACAGATGTAGCCCAATAGCTTTTATTTCACTTCTTGATATATTTACATCTATCAGCCCTTTCTAGCTTTGACTTACTGATGAGTAAGTAAGGACCAAAAAGGAAATAACTATCTTTCTCTTTCCTCCTATGCTATTTTTTGTATAAGTACTTCACTAACACAGGAAGTAACACAAGTAAAAAAGAATATGATAGGGTTTCTTGGGTGTTCATATTTCTTAGAATGCAATTGCCTTCTGCATTTGTTCTAAGCAAATTCCAGTTTGAAACCAAAGCATGGCCTCTTAGGAATGTCAGCCCATTTCCTCAGTCATAGACGTAAAACATTGAATTGTACTCTCTGAGTCATGCTGAACTCCCATGCCTTGTGGTTGCACTGGAATGCTGTGCTCATGCGGCACTGGGAACACTGATGAGAAGAGAAGGGTAGGGGCCAGGGGTTTAGCTCAGTGGTGCCACACCTGTCTCGCAAGCACAAGGTCATGAGTTCCATCCCTGGTACCAAAAAAAAGGAGAGTGGCATGTAACAGGCGACACACCGTATTGTACGTATCTCCACTGCTTACACACAGGCTACACTGTCCTTCTACAGCAGGGCAAAATAAAATTGCAAGGATAAAATTATTTAAGAATTTCATGATGGCAACAGGAAGCATTAAACCAAGTGCAAGGCCTTCAAGTGGGGCACTGTGCAACAGCATTGTACCTGTGTTAACGGAATGGGCCCACCTTTCCTTTAATGTGAACCTATGGGGAAGCTCTGTATGTTATAAATCTATTGTCTGAAAAATCTTTTGGAAACCATCAAGGTGATATATTTTCTTGTAGTCCTAGACTACCATTGCCCAGAAAATTACTTTATTAAGGACTCCTCAATTAGTTCTTAGCACTAAGCTAGGCCTAGCAAAAGAGACAGCAAATCAAGGTGATCTGAAAAATGATTTCAGGTTAAGTGGTCTCTACAAAAGATAAAACTACTGCTTTAAAAAATAATAAAGCTATAGATTTGGCAAAAGATGAAACAATAGAATTGTTATTTCAACAAAATAAAACACATGATTTAGAATTTTTTACAAGTCTTTTCTTTTTAACTCTCTGTATGCATACTTAGACAAATACATAGTCACAGATCTGTATAAGACATTATATACAGTTATAAAATATACCTTACTGGGCAATCCACTTTCCAGTCCCCCTTCTGTCTCTCTTTGAAGCTATTTTTCTCTGAATAAATTCCTCCCATTCTTAAAAATAAAAATAAAAATAAATGTTAAAAATATGTGTCTTACTAGTCATGTACTTATGAGACATGACCCCTTTAGGACTAAGCAATAATATAAACAATTTGGAATCTGTGAGAAGAGGTCACCCTTGAACTTGTTACTTGTTATGATCAGTAAAGTTTCATTTCATTCCATAATATACTGCAGATGGCTAATCCTTATTTTTTGTCTGGGTAATTCATGTAGGCTTTTAGATGTAAAAGGGCCTAGAATATTAGGGTATATTTATCAAAGTTTATTATTCTACAGAAAAATAATAATGGCTGAGATACACTCATTCATTCACTAATGGTCCAGACAGATAAATACTAACTCATTTGGCCCTTGAAGTTTTCACAGAGATGAAATTTGAGTTGAGCTTTGTATTGGTCAGCTTTTCAATTGCTATAACCAATATCTGAATCCAAGACTTAAAAAAGGAAATGGTTTATTTGGCTGAGGGTTTCACAGGGTTCAGTATATGGTTAGCTGACTCTACGTCAGGTACATCATGTTGTAAGGGAATGGTGGAGCATAGCTGCTTAGTTCATGGCAGCCAGGAAACAGAGCACAGGGAAAGAGCAACAGCCAGAGATATGCTCTCCAAAGGCATGCCCCCAGTGACCCTCCAACTGGGTTCTAATGCCTAACAGCACATTCAGCTTTGAATAATCCACCAATGAGTATAGCATGCCTATTATCTAATCACTTTTCTGAGAGTCTCTCAATCCAAATTGACAATTAAGGTTAATTGTCATAAGCCAGAAAGAATGAAAAACATTTCTTTAGAAGTGGAAGATTATATTCTGAATACATGCCCTTTGTCAGATGTGTGATTTGCAAATATTTTCTGTGGCTTGTCTTTTCCATCTATTGTAGACATCATTGTCTATTGTCTATTGCCATCTTTCCCACAGCAAAATTTTCTAATTTTGGTCAAGTCCAATTTATCAATTTTTTTCCTTTTTTGTATTGTGCTTTTGATATTGTGTCTAATAACTTTTCCTAACTGAAGATCACAAAGATTTTCTCGTGTGTTTTGTTCTGAATGTTTTACTTTCCATTTTTCATTCAGACCTATGTTTGATTTTGAATTATTTTTTATATAAGGTGAAGAGGTATAAATCCTTGTTCCATGTTGATGATCCATTTTACCAGTTGTGTTTCTTAAAAAAAGAATACCTACCCTTTCTCCAAGGAGCTGACTTTGCACTTTACCAGTGATCCATTGACAATATTTGCAGGCGTATATATATTTCTGAACTCTATCTTAGTTGCTTACATTTTTACCAACACCCATTCTCTCAATGACTGTGACTTTGTAAGTCTTAAAATCTGAGTTCTTCGGGCTGGGGATTTAGCTCAGTGGTTCAGCCGCCTGCCTCGCAAGTGCAAGGACATGAGTTCGATCCCCGGTACCAAAAAAAAAAAAAAATCTGAGTTCTTCAACATGGTTCTTTATTTTTAAAACAAAAACTCAATTTAAAAAATGAGCAAAAGTTTATACAGACACTTCATTACAAAAGATAAATGAATAGCAAGTAAGCATATGAAATGGTGCTCAACATTATTAGTCATTAGGAGAATGCAAATTAAAACCATAATAAGATACCACTATACACCTATCAGAATGACAATATAAATTTCCTAATCCTTCACCAACAATAGTAAATGCTGGTGGAAAATAAGAAGCAATTGGAAGTATTGGTACATTACTGGTTGTTATTGTTTGTATCTAGCTGTCCCCCCAAAGACTCATGCAGTCATAGGTGGGGCTTTTTGGATCTAGGGTGTGTGATGCTGGGATTAAGTGTGTGATGCTGGGATTAAGGGTGTGTGATTACTAAATTAGTCCACTGATTGGTTTGGCATAGCTCTAGGTGTGGATAATGGGAAGGCCATCCTGGATGGGAGCAGCACCACTCAAAGGGTAGGTAGCATGGAAGGGATAAAAGTGAGAGGCAGGCTGCTTCATCCCTACTTCACTGCTTGCTGCCTTGCTGCCTGCCATGAAGTGTTTCTCCTCTGTGTGCCCTTCTACCATGCCACTCTGCCTTGGAGCCAGCAACTATTAATTGAAGCCTCTAATAACTGTGAGCTACAAAAATCCTTTTGACCTTTAACTTTAGGTGTTAGGTATTTTGTCTCAGCAACAAGAAAAGTAACTAAAACACTGTTGTAATATAAGACTGTTGTTGAAGTACAACCACTTCAGAACATTGGCAGCTCCTTATAACGTTAAATGTCACTTAACACAGGGTCCAGCAATCTTACTCTTAGGTATTTGTCCAAGTAAAATGCAAATTTATATTCACACAATAAAATCTCTGTGGTAGTGTTTATAGTAACTTTATTCATAATTGCCAAAACATGGGGGAAAATCCCACAATGTGCCTCAACTTGGAAATGTATAAACAAGGAAATACTACAGTGAGATAAAATGGAAGAAACTACATGCAATAGCATAGACAAACCTCAGATGCATTATTCTAAGTGAAAGAAGCAGACTTCAAGGGGTATATACTGTGTGATCCTATTTAACGACATTTTGAAAAAGACAAAACTATAGTAATGAGGTGGGCATGGTGGCACACTCCTATAATCCCAGTGCTTGGGAAGCTGAGGTAGGAGGATGGCCATGAGTTCGAAGCCTGGGCTACATCATGAGTTCAAGGCCAGCCTGCACTGCATAGCAAGACCCTGCCTAAAAATACAAACCCTCAAACCAAAAAACAACTACTGTGATGAAGAACACATCAGTGGTGGGGGTAGAGATGAGTACAAAGGGGTAGCATGAGGAAAGATTGTGGAGGGTTTTGGGACTATCCTCCATCTGAATAGTGGTGATAGTTACATGGTCATTGGGCATGGTCAATACTCACAGAACTGTACGCTAAAAAGGGAGAGGGATTTTACTGTATGTAAATTAAAAATAAATTTGTAGTCATAAAGCATTTTATTATTGCTAGAGGGGAAATGGGGAAAGCTAACTGTGTGGTGGGAGATAAGACTATAGTTAAATTGCTTGTAGATTTGTAAAGATCCCTAAAGCAAAGGTTAAAAAACTAGACCAACTTTTAAGCCAAAGAATTTGAATGGAAATGATGGTTAGGTGGCTTGTGCACCTTTGTGCACCTAGGGAGGCAGGCAAGGAAACCAATTAAGAGGTGATAAGGGTTCCCCTTAGGGTAAAAACCTTGTATCTGGAAAGAACTTACAAATGGGAAATTATTTCATTTACTCTATCTTAATTAAACCTTACAAGAACCAGTAAGGTTAGAATTATTATCTGTAGTTAACAGATGCAAAAATGGAGAATTGGAAAGGTTAAGGGATTTGCTTAAATTCGTATTATAAGTGTGAAGATAAGACCTAAAGCTTAGTCATTTGCTTCTTTCCAGCCCTCTATTCTCTCTCACATCATTATATTCATTTCCTTCCTAGCACTGATCACAGCCTGTAGGCTGCCTACTAATTTGTTTTCTTGCTTATTATCTATCTCTTCCACTTGACTTTAGGGAAGGACCCATGTCCCTGCAGTTCCCTGTTGTAGCCTCAGCACCTCTTATAGTTGAAGTCTTCTATCCACACCGGTGTGTACTCTTTCTTGGCAGAGTCCAGCTCCAGCGGGTTCAGGTCCTGAGAGGAGGTGTGGAGTCGGCGACGAGAGAATGAGACAGACACTGAGTGGAGGGTCGGCAGCTCAGCTTGTCAGTCTGAGTTATACCGAAATCACTTTACTCATATATGTTTTGATTACACAAAGCTTTGGTAAGCACATGGGTCCATACACAGTGTGTTTTCATACAGAGTTAAAGAAAAGCTGATATCATCTAAAA